GTTGGGGGGTGTTTTTGCATGTCAAGGCCTGGTTTTGTGTGTTGGGGGGGATTTTGGGTGTCGGGGGTGCCTTGAGCATGTGAGGATGTGTTGGTGCACCCGCTGTGTTCTCAGTCCGTGTCAGGGCATGTTGAGGTGTGTCTCCCCACGTGTCCCTGCGCTGGGCCGTGCTCTGGATGTGACCAGGCGTGTCCTGGCCTGTCAGAGCGTCGCTGTGCCCCCGTGTCAGGGCACGTCCTGGCACGTTGGGGCGTGTCCTGCATGTCCTTGCATGTCCCCATGTGGGCCGTGCTCTGAGGCGTGTCAGGGCGTGTTGGGGCATGTCCTGGCGCGTCCTGGCACGTCCCCCCGTGCCCCTCCGTGTCCCCGTGCCCGCCCCGACGTGTCCCCGGTCCCGCACAGCCCTGGCTCAGCGACGCCGAGGACGCCCCGTTCCTCGACCCCGTCCTGCGCAAACGCGCCGTGAAGGTCAAACACGTCAAGCGCCGCGAGAAGAAGTCGGACAAGAAGGTGGGGGGGGGCACTGGGGGCAACTGGGAGGGCTCTGGAGAGAGGCTGGTGGGCACTGGGAGGGCTCCTGGGAGGTGCGGGGGGTCCTTAAGGCTTACTGGGAGGCTACTGGAAGGGGCACCAGGAGCCTCCGGGAGGGCTGTGGGTGGTCGCTGGGTGGTCGCTGGGCTATGACTGGTGGTTGCTGGTGCTAACTGGTGGTCACTGGTGCAGAAGGAGGAGCGGTACAAGCGGCACCGGCAGCGGGCCCGGCACCGGGAGCGCCGGGGACACCCCGAACGTGCCGACGCCCGGGACCCCGCGGGGCTGGGCCAGTGCCTGGGGCCCGGCTGCACCCGCCCTGCCCGCCCCCCCTCCAAGTACTGCAGCGAGGCCTGTGGCATCAAACTGGCTGCCAAGTGAGTACCTACTAGTACGGACCAGTACAGACTGGTATAGGCCGGTACAGATGGGTACAGACCAGTACAAACCAGTACAGATAGGTACACACCAGTACAAACCAGTACAGGTAGGTACAGACCAGTACAAACCAGTACAGATAGGTACACACCAGTACAAACCAGTACGGATAGATGCAGATCAATACAAACCAGTACAGATAGGTGCAGACCAGTACAAACCAGTACAGATGGGTACTGGGAGGTACAGACCAGTAATGACATGTGTAGACCTGTATAAACTCGTACCAACAAGCAGTGACCTGTGTAGATTGACAGAAACCGGTACAGACCAGTACAGATTGCTGCAGGTGATTACAGACCAGTACAAACCGGTATGGACCGGTAGTGACCTGTATAGACCAGTATAAACTAGTACAGACCAGTAACAAGCTGTATGGGCTGATACAAACCAGTACAGACCAGGCCCAGACAGAGCAGAGCCCCTCTGGATCCAGGGGGCCAGTTCCCCCCCTCCGGTGCTTCCTCCCCAGGTCCCAGCTGGCCCGGTGAGATCCCACCCCCAGGATCCTGGGAGGGATCCCACACCCGTTCCCAGGGTGGATCCCACACCCCATCCCAGAGTGCCCGTTAACCCCATCCCGCCCCATTCCCAGCGGATCTACGAGATCCTGCCGCAGCGGGTCCAGCAGTGGATCCCAGAGATCCCGGGGGTTCTGGGGTGCCCGTTAACCCCAAACCCCCCCCAATTCCAGCCGGATCTACGAGATCCTGCCGCAGCGGATCCAGCAGTGGCAGCAGAGCCCGTGCGTGGCCGAGGAACACGGGAAGCGGCTCCTGGAGCGGATCCGGCGGGAGCAGCACCAGGCGCGGCTGCGGCTGCAGGAGATGGAGCGGCGCTTCCACGAGCTCGAGGGGCTCATCGCCCGCGCCAAGGGGCACCCACCCCGCGAGGATGAGGAGGTGGGGACCCCCCAAAACCCCCCAGGACCCCCCTGGGATCCCCCAAACACCCCCTGAATCTCAAAACCCCCTGGGACCCCCAAACCCCTCCCACGAGCTCGAGGGGCTCATTGCCCGGGCCAAGGGGCACCCGCCCCACGAGGACGGGGGGGGACGACCCCCAAAGTCCCCCTGAACCCCAAAACCCCCCAGGATCCCCAAACCCCTTCCATGAGCTCAAGGGGCACCTACCCCTGCAAGGATGAGGAGGTGGGGGCACGCAGAGACCCCCAAACCTCCCCATGGACCCCTGAACACCAACACACACCTCCTGGAGGCTTGGAGACCCCCCCCAAACCCTTTAACCCCCCATCCTGGGTCCTCCCTGATCCCCCCTCAGGTTCCCCATGGACACCTGGATCACCTCCAAACCTGTTAACCCCTGGTGGTCCTTGAGCCCCTTAACCCTGGGTGTCCCCCCAATCCCTGTGTCCCCCCAGAGCACAGAGGGGGACAGTGAGGACACGGACCTGCAGATCTTCTGTGTCTCCTGCGGCCACCCCATCAACCCCAAGGTGGCCCTGCGGCACATGGAGCGCTGCTACGCCAAGGTATCCTGGGCTCTGGGGGTCCGGGGGATCCCTGGGCTCTGGGGGGAGCCTGGAGGAGCCGCAGCAACCTCTGGGCTCCCGGGGGTTCCTGGGATCTGTGGGATCAACCATGGGATCTGCGGGGGGCCTCTGTAGGGGTCATGGTGTCCCCTGGGGGGGCTGTAGGGACCTGCTTGGGGGTCTGTAGCAGCTGGGGAGCCATGGGGACCTCATGGAGGGTCTCCAGGAAGGCTGGGGGGGCCAGAGGGACCCTGCCTGGGGGGCTCTGGGTGGGTTCTCCAGGGGCTGTGGATCCCTGTAAGGGCTGGGGTTTCCCCTGGGGGTCCGTAGGGCTCCAGGGGGTCTCGGGGGTCCCATCTCTGCACCCTTCTGACCCCCCACTCTGTTGCAGTACGAGAGCCAAACGTCCTTCGGGTCCATGTACCCCACCCGCATCGAGGGGTGAGTGGGGAGGGGAGGGGGAGGAAGGGGAGGGGGGTTCCAGGCCCCTGGGCAGGTGAAGGGCAGTTATGGCTGCCTGGAGGGGGTTCCCCCTGTCACCCCGTGTGCCCCCCTGTCACCCCGTGTGCCCCCCTGTCACCCCGTGTGCCCCCCCAGGGCCACCCGCCTGTTCTGCGACGTTTACAACCCCCAGAGCAAAACCTACTGCAAGAGGCTGCAGGTGCTGTGCCCGGAGCACTCCCGGGACCCCAAGGTGGGTGTGGGGGGCAAAGGGGGCTGAGGGGGGGCTGGTGTTGTGTCCAGAGCACAGCCGGGACCCCAAGGTGGGCACAGGGGTTGGGGGGGCAGCTGCCCCCGTGGATGCCCCCATGGGTACTATAGGGCACGTCTATGGGTGCCCCTGGGAGCCCCAGCACCTCATTGACCCCACTGCCCCCCAGGTGCCCACAGATGAGGTGTGTGGGTGTCCCTAATGTCCCCTGTGTCCTCAGTGTCCCTGTGCCCCCCAGGTGCCCATGGATGAGGTGTGTGGGTGTCCCCAATGTCCCCAATGTCCCTGTGCCCCCCAGGTGCCCATGGATGAGATGTGTGGGTGTCCCTAATGTCCTCAGTGTCCCTGTGCCCCCCAGGTGCCCATGGATGAGGTGTGTGGGTGTCCCCAATGTCCCCAATGTCCCTGTGCCCCCCAGGTGCCCATGGATGAGATGTGTGGGTGTCCCTAATGTCCCCTGTGTCCCTGTGCCCCCCAGGTGCCCGCGGATGAGGTGTGTGGGTGTCCCCTGGTCCGGGACGTGTTCGAGCTGACGGGCGATTTCTGCCGCGTCCCCAAGCGCAAGTGCCACCGTCACTACTGCTGGGAGAAGCTGCGCCGCGCCGAGGTGGACCTGGAGCGTGTCCGCGTGGTGGGTGTCACCTGGGGGGCAGGAGGGGCCCCACGGTGTCCCCTGGATCCCACACGCCACACTGATGTCCTTCACAATCTGCTCGTGTCCCCAAGGCAGTCCCTGTGTCACCATGTTCCCACGTGTGGCCCCTTGTCACTGGTTCTGTCCCCACATCCCCCAGACTGTCCCCACGCTGTCCTCTGTCCCTGACCCTGACTCCGTGCTGTCTCCAGTCCCCAGTGGTACAAGCTGTCCCTGCCCGTGACCCTGGCAGTGTCCCCTCTTCCCCCCCAGTGGTACAAGCTGGACGAGCTGTTCGAGCAGGAGCGCAATGTCCGGGCGGCCATGACGAACCGGGCGGGGCTCCTGGCGCTGATGCTGCACCAGACGATCCAGCACGACCCGCTGACCACGGACCTGCGCTCAGAGCGCTGATGGGACCCCCACAGCCCCCACCCCCCAGGCCTGGGCCCTACCCCCCCACAATAAATCGGGTGTAAAAACCGTGTTTGGAGGTGTCTGTGGGGCTGGGGGGTGTTAATGGGGCTGGGGGCCCTATAGGGTGGGGGAGCCCTTAGAGGGCTGGAGGGTTCCTGGAGGGCAGGGGGGGCAGGGGCAGCATCCCGGGGATGGGCTGGGAAGGATCGCTGGGGGTGCTGGGGGGGGAGGGTCGTCCCTGTGGGGGGTTCAGGGGTCCTGGGGGGTCTTTAGAAGTTCTGTACAGCTCAGGAACCCCTGAGAGTTCTTGGGGGTTCTATAGGGCAGGGGGGGGTCCCTGTTGGGTTCCTTGGGGGTTCTGTGGGACTCGGGGGTCCCTGGGGGGTGTTTGGGGGGTCCCTGAGGGGGTCCCTGAGGGGCCGAGTGGAACGCCTACAACGCATATTAAATAGTGTGGCCCCGCCCCCTTTCCGCATCACGTGACCCGCGCGCGGCTTTTTCGAGGGGCGGGGCTAGGCTTCTCGTTTCATGTGACCGCTTCGTTTGCATAGCCCCGCCCCACACGCGACCCTGGCCGTTGGGTCACGTGTCCCCTCGGGGTCACGTGTGTCATGGGTCACGTGCCCACGCCAGTCTGCGGGGGTGCCTCGCCCCGCCCCTCCAAGCTCTCCTCCCCTTTTCCATTGGCCGCCGCGGGCTCACGTGACCAGCTGATTTCACACACTCCCCCCGCCTTTTCCCTCGCGGCGCTTCCGCTTCCGGCGCCAGGCCCCGCCCCCAGGCGGCCGCGAGGAGGAGGAGGCGGAGGAGGAAGAACCGGAACATCTGCGACAGCGGGGGGGGATGGGAACGGTGAGAGGGGAGGGGAGGGCGGGAGAGGGGAACGGTGCGGGGAGAGAGGAGGGTGTGAGGGGATGGGAACGGGGAGGGGGGAACCGAGGTGTGTGGGGGCGTAGGTCAGTGGGGGGGGGGCACAGGGGGCTGAGAAGGGGGGGTTACGTTGGGGGGAAACGGGAAGGGGGAGACGAGGCCGTGAGCGGGGCAGGGGGAGCGGTTTGTGAGGGGTTTCTGAGGGGAGGGGCGGTTTAGGGGGTGATTTTGGGGGAGAGGGGGCGTGAGACGGACCGGGAGGTTTTGAGGTGTTTTTAAGGGGGAGGGGCGGGAGGGGGGAGTTCGGGTGGGAGGGGGCGTGGCGGAGGGGCTGTGAAGGGAAGGGGGGTTGTGGGGGAGTATTTTGGGGGGGCGGGTTGGCGGGTGTTTTTTGGGGGCGTGGTGGGGAGAGGGAGTTTGGGAGCTGGTTTGGAGCGGGAGGGGCGGGGTAGGGGGTGCTTTTGAGGCGGAGGGGGTGTCCGGGGGCGCGCGGGCTGCGGGGAGGGGGAGTTTTGGGGGTTGTTTCTGAGGGGGAGGGGCTGCTCGGAGTTGTTTGTGTGGGGGAGGGGCAGGGCGGGAGGGGGAGGGGGGTTTCGGTGGGGGGGAGGGGTTTGAGGGGGTCACGTGGGGAGGAGATGCGAGGGCGTGGCCTGGCTGTGTTTGGGGGCTTGGCCTCGGGGACCCGGGGGGAGGGGATCTGTGGGTGGGGGCATGTTTTGGGGTCTCTGGGAGGTTTGGGGTGTTTTGGGATCCCGGGAGGGATTTGGGGGTGTTCTGGCAGCCCGTTCCGGTGCTGACACCCCCCCGGGGCAGCAGCCCCCCCCCAGGATGGCCGAGGGCTGGGCCGACTGCCCCGCGCTGGGCCCGGGGTGGCAGCGCCGCGAAGCCTTTCGGAAATCGGGGGCCACGAGCGGCCGCAGTGACACCTACTACAGGAGGTGCCCTTCCCCCACCCCCCCCGGCACCCCCGTCGGCCCCTCCCCCACCCCCTGAACACTTCCTCCCCCATTTCCACCTGCTCCCCAACCCCCCTCCCAACCAACCCCCCCAGAGGGCCCAGGGGCCCCCAAATTGTCTCAGCCCCTCACCAGTCCTTGTCCCCACACCCTGCAGTGTCGGGGCTCCCCCAGGCCTCCCCACCCCCCGTGGTGTCTCTACCCCTCCCAGGGGTGGTTTCAGGCCCCCCCAGGAGCTCCTCGGGGCCATTTCAGTGCCCCCTTACTTCCAGCCCCTCCCCTGGCCCTGCAACCCCAAATCTCTCCACCCATCCCCCATCCGAATTCTTCCAACCCCACCCCAAACCACGGTGGGGCTCAGGGGTCACAGGGGGAACTTTGGGGTCCCCTGAGCTGTGTTGGGCCCCTCCACTGATTTCATCCTCCCCCTCCCTGTTCCTGCTCCTCCCTCCCAGTGTTTCCCCGGGTCACTGACCCCCTCCCTGGGTTTTGGGGTCTCCCCCCGGGTTTGGGGGGTTTTGGGCCCCCCCTGACGGGCCCCCCCGGCAGCCCCACAGGGCAGAAGTTCCGCAGTAAGATCGAGCTGAGGCGGTACCTGGGCCCCGGCCACGACCTGAGCAACTTCGACTTCAAATCGGGGCTGGAGCGGGCCGGGACCCCCCGGGTACGGACCCCAAAACTGCGGGGAGGAGGGCGCTCAAAAGCCAGGGGACCCCAAAAAACCCCAGGGAGGGAAATCTAAAGCTCTGCTGGAGCAGTGGGGAAGGGGGTGGGTCACCCCAAAACTGGGGCGGGTCCCAAAAATGGTGGGGGGATTAGAGTTTGGATTAGGGGTTAGGGGGTGGGAAGAAATTGGAGGGGGGGAAGAAAAGGGGGAGAGCAAAAGGGGCTCCTCGGAATGAGGGAAATGAGGGGGCCCCAGATCAGGGGGGCAGAGGGGAGTCACAGTATGGGGGGCTGAGGGGTTCCCAGAGTGTTTCACCCCTCCATTTTCTCACCCACAGACCAGGAAAGGCCCCAAATGGCGCCTTCCCGTGGGGCGCCCCCTGAATCCCCCTGAGACCCCCCGGGAGGAGGAGGAAGAGGGGGGCGGGGTGGAAGCTGAGGAGGCCCCGCCCCTGCTGGTCCAGGCCCCGCCCCTGCCCCCTCCTGCAGTGGTCACGCCTCCTCCTCCCACCGAGCCCACGCCCCTGATTGCTGTGGCCCCGCCCCCACCCACCGAGGCCCCGCCCCCACCGGAGCCCCCCCTTGTGCGCAGGACCCGCAAACGGAACCCTCCGGAGCCCCCCCAGGACGGGGCTGTGGTGTGAGTGGGGGAGGGGTGGGGGGAGGGTGGGAGTGTGGGGGGTCCTGGATCCCCCTTTTGGGAGGGTTTGGGGACAGGGAGGGGGGTCCCAGAGGAGGGGGTTGGGTGGGTGTTCCCCCAGAGCCCGGCGAGGGAGGGGGGTGGGGAGGGGGTCCCTACGACATCTGGGGGCTGGGAGGGGTATCTGGGGGGAGGGTTGGGGTCCAGGGGGGTCCCTGGGGAGGTTTGGGGCTGGAGGGAGGTCCCTGGGGGGGTGTTGGGGTTTCCCCAGCCCCTGCCAACACCCTCCCCCTCCCCCCCAGTCTCTGTGCCGGCTGCCAGAGCCTCTTCCCGGGGGTGTCCCTGCCCCCCCAGCGCCGCTGCCGCTGGCTCTGCCCCGACTGCCGCGGTGAGTTCGGCCTTGGTGCCCTCCTCATCCTCCTGCTGCCCCCAGAGCCTTCCTCCTCATCCTCCTCCTACCCCCCAGAGCCTTCATCCCACCGTCCTCATCCTCCTCCTGCCCCCGAGAACGTTCCTCTTCCTCCTCGTCATGCTCGTCCTGTGCCTGAGCACATTCCTCCTGGTCTCATTCCCAACCTCAGAGCCTTCCTCATCATCATCCTCAGCAGAGCCTTTCCCATGCCTTCCTCCTCATCCCTCTCATTTTCATAACTCAGAGCTTTTTCCCCTGTTTTGGGCCCTTCTGGGATGGAGTTGGGGGGGGCGTCGGGGGGCTTGAGGGAACCCTGAGGGGAGTCAGGGTGCCCCTGGGGGGGTCCCAGGTAAGTTGAGGTGACCCTGACCTCCCCTCATTTCTCCCCCAGCCCAGAGACGAGACTTCAACCGAGAGCAGCGGTTCTACAAGGTATTCCTGACCCCCCCGGGCCCTCCCAGGCTCCTCTGAACCCCTGGGTGCCCACGATCCCTCGGGGGGGGTTGGAGGGATGTTGTGTCCCCTGGGTGTCCCCCTGGATCCCTCAGGGATTTTTGGGGGTTGCCCCTGGTCCCTCAAGTTTGGGGAGGCTGTTGTGACCCTGTGGCTCCCTAGGGATTTGGGGGCTGTTGTTCCCCCCTGGATCCCTTGGAGAGTTTAAGGGGGGGTGTTTTTCACCCCCGTTCTCTCAGGGGGTTTGGGGGTGTCCCCCTGGTCCCATGGAGGTTCGGGGGGCTGTTGTGCCCCCCAATCCACCACAGGGGTCTGGGGGATTGCGTTGTGCCTCCCCTGATCCCTTGGCGTGTTGTGTTGTGCCCCCCCGACCCCCCCACAGCGGGTGGGCTGTGGCTCGTGCCAGGCCTGTCGCATCCCTGAGGACTGTGGCATCTGCAGCGCCTGCACCCGCAGCCCCCCCGGGGGGCCCCCCGGCCCCGCCTGGCCCCACAAGTGCCTCCTGCGTCGTTGCCTGCGCATCGTCAAGAAGGTACCGGCACCTCTGGCACTGCCACCCCCCCCGGCACTGCCATCCCCCCCCGGCACTGTCACCCCCCCTCAGCACTGTCACACCCTCCCCTGGCACTGTCACACACCCCTGGCACTGTCACATACACTCGTGAGTCACACACCCCTCCCCGGCACTGTCACACATCTGTGTCGGTGCCAGGCTGTCTGTCCCCTCTGTCAGCTCTCTGGTGCCATACCTTGTCTGAGAACATACCTGAGCCGTGTTGTCCCACGTTATCCCATGTTATCCTGTGTTATCCCGTGTTCACTGTGCTCTCCCATGTTCCTGTGTCTCGGCTGCCTGAGCTGTGCCCGCCCGTGCTGTGTCTGTGGCTGCACGTTCACCGTGTTCACCCACGTTCTCCCGTGTTAACCCCTGTTTTCCCGTGTTATCCCATGTTCTCCCGTGCTCACCGTGCTCTCCTGTGTTCCCGTGTCCCAGGGCCTGGGCTGTGGCTCCTGTCCCGGCTGTCTCAGCACCGAGGACTGCGGCAGCTGCTGCATCTGCCTGAGGCGGCTCCAGCCCGGCCTCAAGCGCCAGTGGCGCTGCCTGAGGCGGCGCTGCCTCCGCCCCAAGGTGGGAGACCCCCTGGGACCCCCAGAGTCACCCACCCTCCTGGGGTCACCCTCCAGCACCCCACGGGGCACCCCCCAACCTCCCCCTACAGCGCCAGTGGTGCTGCCTGAGGCACCGCTGCCTCTGCCCCAGGGTGGGACCCCCATTCTGGGACCCCCTGGGACCCCCAGAGTCACCCACCCCCCTGGGGTCACCCCCGATATCCCCCAGACCTCCCGCTCAAGCACCAGTGGCGCTGCCCCCCCCCAAAGTGGGATCCCCACTGCGCCCCCTTGGGACCCCCCAACCTTCCCCTCCCTCTCCACCCTGGGGTGTCCCCCTGCCCCCCTCCCCTCAGTCCCCCCAACCCCCTCTCCCTGTGTCCCTCCAGAAATCGAGGGCAGCCAAGAAGACCCAGATCCCCCAGGCCCTGACAGAGGTGAGTGAGACCCCCGGTGGGGGGGCAGGGCCGGGACCCCTGCGTGTCTCCGCCTCACCCCTATCTCCCCCCCCAGAAGTGGAAACCCTCCATGGAGCAGGAGCCCAGCGACAACCCCAGCACCAGGCACAGGGTGAGTGGGCCCCCCCAGACACCCCTGGGCCCCCCCAGACACCCCTGGGCCCCCACTGACCCCCCTCTCCCCCCAGAAGCCGCTGACCAAGGGCAAGGAGAAGAAGAAGCCTGGCCGACCCCCGAAGCCCCCCGGGCCCCGGGTGAGTGACAGCCCCTGGCCCTGCCCCCTCGGTCACGCCCACAGCCCCTTGGCCCCGCCCCTTCGAGCCCTGGCCCCTCCCCGGTGCAGCTATTAGGGGCAGGGAGCCGTAATGTTCTTAATAGTGGGGCGTGAGAAATTGGGACAGCGTTGGAATTCAGACGATGTAATACAGGGGGTGCAGGTGCCGTAATGCTCCTGATAGCTGTGCCAGCGCTAATGTTGGGGTTCAAGCCCTTGAATAATGGGGTGCAGGTACCGTAATGGTTCTATGAGCTGTTCCTAGGGTGAATATTGGGGTGCAGTGCATTCAAACCCCACAAGCAGTGGGGTGTGGCCAGGTCACACCTTAGGAGCTGGTCCATGGCTGATGGTGTGATTGGGGTACCATAATACCTCTGATAGTGGGGCTAGGTACCACGACACCGTTAATAGGGCGTTCAGTTACCATAATGTCCTTAGTAAGTGTTCCAGTCATAATGTTGGGATCCAAGGGATTGTAATAGTGGGGTGCAGATACCGTAATGCCCTGCCTACTGGGGCCCAGAGAGCCCAGTGCCCCTGATAGCTGCTCCTTCCTCCCTCCGTGCCTTCAGCCTAACCTGCTGCTGGTGCTTGGCTGCCGTAATGCCCCTAATACTGCACCCCCCACTACCGTAATGCTCTTAACAGCCGTTCCCGCACTGACAGCCCCGGCGGGGCCCTGGGGGGTTCTGGGGGTCCCGGGTGACCCCTGTCTCTCCCCAGCGGGGGGTGAGGAGCAGGGCCAGCCGGCGCTGTGGGGTGTGTGCGGCCTGTCGGCGCCCGGCCGACTGCGGCCGCTGCGACTTCTGCCAGGACAAGCCCAAGTTCGGGGGGCAGAACCTCAAGCGCCAGAAGTGCCGCTGGAGGCAGTGCCTGCGCTGTGCTATGGTGGGTGCCCCCCCCGCTTCATCCCGGTGCCTCCCAGCAGCCCCCAGCCACAGCCCCTCTGCCCCCTCCCCAACAACCCACCACCTTTGTCTGGGAAAACTGAGGCACGAGCAAGGCTGGGGCTGCCCCAACCCCTCCAGTGCTGGGTGGGACCAGTTCAGACCAGTATGGACTAGTTGGAGGGGAAAGAGGGGGGTTGGTTGGTACCCAGGTGGTGCCTGGATGCCTGGATCCTGTTTTGGGGGCTCTCCTGGACGCCTGGGTCCTTCCTGCACTGCTTGGCTTTGGGGGGGCTCAGCTCGGGTCCCTTTGCTGGGGGGAGGGGGGGTTCCTTGGCCACCTGGGTCTCCCTGAGGGGGTTGTTCCTCTGCCCCCTTCTGATCCACGTTGCTCCCCAAATCGGGGTGCACCCCCGCCCACTGAGGTCTCTCTCCTGGCGCAGAGGCGGCTGCTGCCGGTGTGGGGGGGTCGCTGGGGGCCCCCCTGGAGAGGCCGCCCCCTCCCCCCGTCCAGGCCCTGCCGGCGCCGGCCCCCCCGGCCCCTCCACGCCGCCGCCCGGAGCCGCCGCCTGCCCCGCCCCCCCCGCCAGGTAACGGGACCCCCCCTCTGTCCGGGGGGGACCCCAAAACGCTCCTCACCCCCCCCCAGATAACTTCATCCCCCAAGTCTTTCCACCCCCTGTCTCTCTCCCCCCCAATTTGCCCCCTGCCTTGCTGTGCTTGCTCTGCTGCTCTGTCTGCACGGACCCCCCTCGGGGGACCCAGGTGTCGGGGGGGACCCAGATGTCCAGGAGGGGAGTCTGGGGGGGATTTTGAGGATCCCCAGGCACCTGGGACTCCCCGTCACCCCAAGGCTTCTCTGTGCCTCAGTTTCCCTGTGGGGTGGGAGCTCCCCCCTGGACACCTGGGTCCCTTTGGGGGGGGCTGTGTCCCTACAGGACACCTGGGTGGCCTGTCCCTGATGTACCCCTCCCCCATAGGTCAAGGAGGACCCTCTGGGGGGGACTGAGCAGGGCCCTGGACCCCTCCCAGGCCCCCCCCTGCGCCTCTGTCCCATCAAGGAGGAGGTGGGTCCCCTCCCACGCCTCGAGGTGAGATCCCCCGGCCGCCTGGGACCCCCACTGGAGATGTGGGGGCCCCCACCGACCCCCCCTGCCCCCCAAGACCCCCGGCTGGGGCTCCTCATCGCCTCGGCCCCCCGGCTCAAAGGGGCCCCCCCGGAGCCCAGCGTGGCCCCCCCGCCGGTGAGTGGGACCCTCTGCACCCCTCCCCCATTCCCCAGGTGCCCGGGACCCCCAGTAACGCCCCTGCCCCCCTGCAGCCCCCCCCCGGGGATCTGGGGGTCCTGATCGCCGCCACCCCCCGCGTGAAGCAGGAGCAGCCCCAGCCCAGCGCGTCCCTGGTGCCGGTAAGGGGGGGGACCCCGAGTTTGGGGGGGTTCCCTGACCCCCCAAACCCCTGGGTTCACCCCAATTCCACCCCTTAGGTGCCCCCCCGGCCCCCCCCGGCCCCACTGGTGGTGCTGAGTGAGAGTGAGGAGGAGGAGGAAGAGGAGGAGGAGGGAGGATGCCGAGTGGTGAGGACGAGGGGTGCTGCTGGGCTGGGGGAGGGTCCCACGGGTGGGGGGGTCTCACGTGGCTGTTCCTGTACTGGGGGGGTTGCAGAATTTAGGAGGAGTCTCAAGAAACTTGAGGGGGTCCTGAGGCTCTTATGGGGTCGTGGGGGGTGCTTGGGAGTGGGGTGGGGGTGTCTTAGGGGGACTCTGAGGGTGGGGGAAGGGAGTCTGGGACCTTCAGTGGGGGAGCTTTTTGGGGTCTTGGTAAACTGGGGAGGGGACTCTTGGGGAGATTCTCAGGGGTTTAGGAGGGGTCTCAAAGAGGGGGTGTCCTCGTGGCTGGGGGGGCGGATTCTGAGGCTCTTGGGGGTCTCCCGAAGGGGTCTCAGTGCTCTCGGGGTGTTCCTCACGATTTCGGGGGGTCCTGTTGTCTGGGAGGGTCCCGAGCCTCCCCCGGAGCCCCCTCCCCACTGCCCCCTCCTCCCGCAGGCGCTGCCGCTGCCGCCGGCACCGCCCCCGCCCTGGCCGGGCTCGTTCCTGGAGGAGCTGCTGGAGATCCCCCTCCCCGCGCACTGGGGGGTGGTGGGGGGCGGCCCGGGGGGGGGCCGGGGGCTGCGGCTGGTGCAGCGCTGTCCCCGCTCGCCCATGGCCGCGGCCGCCGTGCTGCTCAACCCCGGGCTCGCCTTCCGCGTCCTGGTGGCCCGGGGGCGGCCGGTGCCCCCCGGGCACGAGGTGCTGGCCCGGAGACCCCCCCTGCGCTCCGTCCTCGACCTCGTGGAGCTGCTCTGCGACCTCGAGGCCTACGGGCCCTGCCCCGGCCCCCCCGGGGGCCCCCCCGGGCCCCGCTGCCACGTCCTGGTGAGGGGGGGTCGCTGCTGCCGGCCCTGCCTGGCCACGGGGGGGGACTGAGGGGGGATTGGGGAGGGGGGACCAAAGGGAGGGAGAGGATTTGGGGGGACGGGGGAATGGGGGGGGGAGGAATCCGGGGAATAAATTGGGAAGGTGGATCTCTGGGGGAGGGGCAAAGTGGGCACAGAGTTGGGGGAGGCAAATGGGAAAGGAACCGAAATTGGGGGAGGTGGAAGTGATAGAGGAAGGAATTGGAATTGGGGTGAAGGGAATGGGGGAGGGGTGAAATTTGGAGGGGGAAGAAAACAAGGGAGCTGAAAGTGGGGGGAGCAAAGGTTGAGGGATGTGGGGGCAGGGGGGAGGATTTGGGTGTTGCACCTTTGGGATGGGGAGTGCATTTGGGGATGGACCTGGAGGGAGTGTGGTAGGGGCACTGGGGGTCCTCGGGGGGGGTCTAAGGTTAAACCCACATCCCCTCTGTGGGATCCAGGACCCTCCTGTGGGGGTCAGGGTGACTCCAAAGGGGTGACACCCCCATTTTGGGGACCTCTCTCCAGCCCCTCCCCCAGTGACACCCCAAGGCTGAGGGACCCCAGAAGTGGCATTTTTGGGTGGCACCACTCCACATTTGGGAGGGGGGCCCAGTTCGGTACCACCCCTCGGTACCACCCCTCGTTTGGTTTCCCAGGGATTTTGGGGTGCCCCCAGCACCCGTTTTTTGGGGGTTCCCCCCCACCACCCCAGTTTGGGGACATCAGGTTTAGGGGGCCCCAGAAGTTCTTTTGTTGCCCAAGTTCCCCCCAGTGCCAAACTGGGGCCCCTCCCCCACCCCCAGAGTTTCTATTTTTTACACTGGAACCGCCCCCCCGGAATTGGGGGCGCGGCCTCTTTAAGACCCCACCCCGTAGAGGTTTAAGGTGGACCCCGCCTGTTGCGCGGCCCCTTTAAGGTGGGGGCGTGGTTCAGTTAAGTCCCGCCCCTCGGGTTAGGCCCCGCCCACGCGTGTCTTCCGCCTGCTGTGACCCTGCAGACCACGCCCCGTTCTATTAAGGAGGGGCGTGGTCTGTACCCCTTGGCCCCGCCCCCGCGCTGCTTTCAGGGATTCGCGCCGAAGCCATAACCCCGCCCCCTCCTTGTCCCCGCCCCCTCAGCAGAATTTAAGAGACCGCGATGAATTATTTTTGTTAAAAGTAATAAAAGTTTTAAGGAGAACAAACGGAGGTTTGGGGGCCGTCGAGGGGTGTTCCTGGATGTGGGGGAGGGGTCGAGGGGTCTCAGCCCCCCCCTCCCCCAAACACCTTCTGCAGCAGCCGCCGGGGGGGCGCGGCCGGGGGGGGCCGAGCTTTGCGCCCCCAAATCTCCTCCTCGGTGGGTCTCTGGGTGAAGCCCCAGGGCCGGGGGGGGTTCGTGGAGCCTTTGGAGTCCTCGGAGGGGGCCCGGGGGGGGGCCCGGCGGGTGTAAAACCCCCCCTCGCGCTTGGCCTGGGCCACCTCGGCCCGGAGCCGCTGGGCCCGGACCTGGCGCTCGTAACTCAGGCGCTCGCTCAGGTGGGGCCAGCGGAACCCGGGCAGGTACTGCGGGGGGGGAGGCAATTAATCACCCCAAATACCTCCAAAACACCCCCAAATACGCCCCCCCAAAACACCCTCAAACCTGGGCAGGTACTGCGTGGGGGGGGGGGGGGCGCAGTTAAACACCCCAAATACTCCAAACCCACCCTTAAATACCCCAAAACCACCCCCAAATACCCCCCAAACATCCCTAAATACCCCTGAACCTCGGCAGGGACCGGGGGGTAAAGGAGGAGTCAGGGGACCCCCATTCAAACCCTCTCTACCTCCCCCATAAGGTTTTGGGGTGCCCAAACCCCCCCCCCCGCCCGTGTTCACCTGGGTGTCCAGGAAGGGTCCCCCCAGTACACCCACCCTGGGAGGGACCCATATCCCCTCCCTCGCCCCCCCCCGTGGTTTTGAGGTGCCCCCCCGCCCCCTCCATCCCCCCCAACCCCCCATCGCCCACCTTGAGGCTCCAGCGCTGCTCGCGGAAGGGGCTGCGGGGCCGGGCGCTCATGGGGGTCCCGTGCAGGAGTTTGGCCGCTCGTTTGGCCGCTCGTTTGTCCCGAAACTCCACCCAGCCCTCGGCAAAGGACCCCCCCGAGGGCCCTCCCGGGCGCTGCCGCCGCCGCCGAACAGACCCTCCTGCGGGTGGGGAAGACGGGGGGGGGTCAGAGCACACGGGGGGGAGGGAGACCCCAACCCAGGGGGGCTGAAAGCCCCCCGCCCCCATTTCTGTACCTCCAGGGGGTCGATGGGGCCCCCTGACCTCCCCAGGGACACCCCGAGTCCCCCCAGGACCTCCCCTGGACTCACCCTTGGGCTGCAGGAAGACCCTCCCCAGCTCCCCGTGCGGCCGCAGCAGCGCCCGCGCCTGGCGGGGCCCGAACCCCGGGGGGAGGAAGGACAAGTAAAGGACCCCCGGGACCACCGGCTTGGGGGGCGGCCCGGGGGGCGCCTCGGCCGCGGGGGGGGAGCCCTCAGGACTCTCCTCCTTTGCTTCTTCCTCCTCCTCCTGCTCTTCCTCCTCCTCTTCTTCTTCCTCCTCTTCTTCTTCTTCCTCCTCCTCCTGCTCTTCCTCCTCCTCTTCTTCTTCCTCCTCTTCTTCTTCCTCCTCCTGCTCTTCCTCCTCCTCGGCCGCCCCTCGCCGGTCCCGCTCTGCCCCGGCCATGGCCCCTGGGACAGGCAGGACGGGATTAAAGGTGGGGGAGAAACCCCCGAACACCTCCAGGGCCCCCAAAATCCCCCTCAGAGCCCCTTCCTTTCCTGCCCTCCCCCCGGGTCCGCCGCACCCCCAAACTCTCTTCAAACTCCCCCCCAAAGACCCCCCGGGACTCCCGTTCCCCCACCCCGACGGTCGTAAAACTTCAGCGCGGCCGTAAAGGAAGCGGGGGAGTCGCGAAAAGGCCGGAAAGCGCGGCGGGGGCGGGGCCTGTTCGGGGGCGGGGTTTGGCGGTGTGGTTATTGCCGGGGGCGTGGTCCTGGTGGGGGCGTGGTCTGCCGTCGGGGGGCGTGGCACGGCCGGCGCGGGAAGCGCTGGGGCGGTGTTTTGGCGGGAACGGCCCCGCCCGGCCCGAGACCCACCGGGACCCCCCCGGTGGCCCCCCAATAGCCCTCTGGGACCCAACGGGACCCCTCGGCACCCACAGAGCTCCCCGGGACCCACTGACCCCCCAGTGCCCCTCAGGCCCCCCAAAAACGTCCCGAAAGCCCCCCAGTGTTCCACTCAGTGCCCTCAATGCCCCCCTTGAGCCCCCTCACTGTGCCCCCCAGGCCCCCCTGTAGCCCCCACGGCCCCCTCAGCCATACAAATGTGCCCCACAGCCCCCCAATATCCCACTCACCTCCCCAGCGTCCCCTTAAACCCCGTCTGGGTCCCCTCAGGGCCCCTCAGCCTGCCCGAAGTCCCCCGTGTCCCCCCCGTGTCCCCCCGCCGGGGGGGTCCCGGCTGCAGCCGAGCAGTGGATTATCCTCCCCGCCATCCCCCCCTAATCCAGCAGCTGGGGGGGATTAAGGGCCCCCACAGCCCCCCCAACCTCCCCCAAACCCCTCCGGGGGCTCAGCCCATCAATGGGACCCCCTGGTCCCCTTGGTTTTGGGGGGACACCCCAAATCCCCCTCCACCCCCCCAATAATTAACATCTGGTTTAATTGGGGGGCTCAGGGGACCGTGGGAGTTCAGCCAAAGCGGGAGAGAGGGGGGGGCTGCTCCTCCCCATCAGCAGCTGGAGGGGGGATTTTGGGGGGGATTCGGGGGGGCCGGGGCAGGAGCCGCCCCCACCCCTCATTCATCGGCGGCTCCGCAGGGACCTGGAGCACCCACGGCCCAGGTGAGTGGGGAGGGGGGCACCGGGACCCCCCGTGGGGGCTGGGACGCCAGATCTCTGTCTGAGGGAGGACCTGACCCCAACCCCTTGGGGAGCTGCCCCTCACATTAGGGGCCACTCTGCCCCATCGGGGGTCCCCCCCACCCCACGGGTGCCATTACCCCCCCTACACCCCATAGAGAGCCCCCCCAGGGGGTGCTCCCCCAACCTAATGAGTGCCACTCCCTCCCTCCTCACCTCATAGGCAGCCCCCCCATGGGGTGCTGCCCCCTGCTCCATGGGGTGACCCCTGCCCCCAATAGGGTGCGACCCCTGCCCCAGTGGGTGCCATTACCCCCCCACACCCCATAGGGTGCCCCCCCATCACCCCTCAACCCCCGGGTACTCTCCCAGGGTCCCCCATAACCCCCCTCTGTCCCCCCCAAGCCCCCTCCTGGTGACCCTCCTGTTCCTGTGGCCCCCCAGACACTGTCCCCCAGCCCAGCCCCACAGGGCACCCTCTGCACCCCCCCGTGCCCCCTAAGCCCCCATAGGGTGCCATTCCTCCCCCATGGGGTGCTGCCCACCCACCCCTTTGTGCCCCCCAACCCCTCACAGGGTACTCCCACCCGTGGGGTACCCCCTGCACCCCCAGTGCCCCCTAACGCCCCCTCCGCCCCCCAGCCCGCCATGTCTCCGCCGCTGCCCACCCTGGTGGTGCCCACGGTGACCCTGCTGTCCCTGCTGCCCCCCGGGCGCTGCCCCCCGGCCCCCACGCAGCCCCACGCCATCCGGCTGGAGGGGGACCTGACGCTGGGGGGGCTGTTCCCGGTGCACGCCCGCGGCCCCGCGGGGGTGCCGTGCGGGCCGGTGAAGAAGGAGAAGGGCATCCACCGGCTGGAGGCCATGCTGTACGCGCTGGACCGCGTCAACGGCGACCCCCGCGTGCTGCCCAACCTGACGCTGGGCGCCCGCATCCTGGACACCTGTTCCCGGGACACCTACGCCCTGGAGCAGGCGCTGAGCTTCGTGCGCAGCCTCCTGCCCCCCGAGGGCGGCGACGGCCGCTGCCCCGACGGCTCCGTCCCGCACCGGCCCCCGCCCGAGCGCCTGGTGGGCGTCATCGGCGCCTCGGCCAGCTCCGTCTCCATCATGGTGGCCAACGTCCTGCGGCTCTTCGCGGTGAGGGCGGGCACGGGGGGGTTTTGGGGGCAGGGGGAGCACTG